AATAGGATGAATAGAACAGAACTGATGTTTCATAATTTACATTGGTGATTTCCTATACTATCATTCTATCGTGTGTGTGTATGTGTGAGTGTGTACACAGATATAGCTGGAAGTTAGGCAGAATCAGTGAGATATTAGGTTGGAGTATATACAGTTGATAAACTCCATTATTCATGATAGTTCTGTTCTATAAAGTAGCCGTGAACGCTGAATTTGCGTTTACTGAACCAATGTTCCTACAGAAAAGATAAGATTAGGTTCCTGTGATCTCTGGTCATAACATTTTCATCAACCAATGAGTACAAAAACCTGTTTAATATGTGTTTCTGTTTAAAGATGCCTTATTTAACAGGCGCTGCTGTTTCATTAACATTGAACTCGAGCCAACAGCACTGTAGGTCATGCCTGCACCAAACTTATCTAAGACACATTTTCTCCTCAAGGCACATCACAGCCTTGTTGCACTTAGGGACACTAGACAGCACTTCAGCATGATGCTCGGGGGTCATTTATTTTTTTTTAAAGATTTTATTTATTGCCTTTTTCTCCTCAAAGCCCCCCAGTATATAGTTGTATATTCTTCATTGTGGGTCCTTCTAGTTGTGGCATGTGGGACGCTGCCTCAGCATGGCTTGATGAGCAGTGCCATGTCCGTGCCCAGGATTTGAACCAACAAAACACTGGGCCGCCTGCAGCGGAGCGCACGAACTTAACCACTCAGCCACGGGGCCAGCCCCTCGGGGATCATTTTAAATGGCAAAATCACCAATAATAAACACAAAATTATGAAAAATGTGTCACTAAATAGACCATAAAAGAGACTTTTGTTTACCGTAGGAGAACTGAAACTGGAGAGCAGCATTGACTCATTCAGTCTTGGCCGGGAACATCTGTGGTGAATGACTCAAATTTTGCATCACTGTGCATGTCCACAAATGATCATTAAAGTGCTGTGAGTGTTAGTTTAGGGTTTACAAATAAATTTTAGTGAGTAGGCAAATTTGCAAATGCATAATCTGTGAATAAGTAGAGATCAACTGTGTGTGTATGCATATATGGATATGGCAGAATCATGGAGAGGTCGGGTGGGAACATCTCAGAGCCTATTTGAACATAGGGAGCGGAGAGGGCACAGCCCCACCTTGTGACATTCACTCCCTCAACCTTCATCAAGCAACGCTGATGCCTTTGAATATGTGCCTATTTCAGTTATCTATTGATGCCTAACAAATCACCTAAAACACGATGGCTCAAATAGCATCAGTGATTTATTTTACTCACAAACCTAGAATTTTGTAGGTTTTGATGGGAACAGCTCATCTTTGCTCCACAAGGCATTTGGTGAAGCCTGGAAGCTCCACTGTCAAGAGGACTCAACTCATGACCAGCAAGTTGGTGTTAACTTTCAGCTTGGAGCTCCGTAGGGCTGTGGGCCAGAGCCTCTGGTTCATCTCCTCGTGGGCTTCTTCGTGAGCTGATTTGGCTTCCCTCCTGTGTGGTGCTGTGTCCTAAGAAACAGGAAATGGAAGTTACCAAATTTTTGCTTCCTGGGCCTAGAAAGTCTTACAATATGATTTCTGATATATTCTATTGCTCAAGTAGTCAGCGAGCCCTGATTTAAGGGTAAGAGACATAGACCCTTTGATGAGAGAGGGTCAAAAGAATTTTGGGGACCATGTTTTAAAACCAACACAGTGCCATTGATGTTACCATTAAGCCTAAGCAATAAGCCTCCCTACCCTACAGACTATGCTAGTATTTATTCCTTATGACCATTGAAGAGTATTATCTTTTCCTTAATTATTTTCCTACATCTTCTTGTTATTATAATTGCCATAGCACAGATGTATGACTAGAATCATAACGTCAGGTTGACTGGAAGTGAGGCTTGTAGCAAGCCATCCTATCTCTCAAAAGTCATGATGGATTTGGAAATAGCTCCAGCTAGGCTAGAGACAGGGACATGGGACTCTAATTCAATGCAGACACACTGCTTTCCTATAGAAATACTGAGAGGGACATAACAATGTTCTACCCTCTTTCTGCAGGACATATGAATTTAATGAAAGTTTTGACATGCTCAACTTCCAGATGAGTTATACAACCACAACCTACCCATTTGAAAAATAATCTTTGCTATAAAGTCCCAGGCTATTCTAGAGTAAGGGGAAGAAATAGCGGGTTGATAGAGACTCCAGTTAGGAAGAATCTTGAAGTTTGAGAGAAATTCACTCAGAATAAGCAGGTCAAGACTGGAGGGTATTTGTGAAGAAATAAATTATAGAAGAAAAGAGAATCTGAGAAAGAACAAGAGCCAATGAGAACTTAGAATGCAATGAAAAGAAGAGAAACATTGATTGAGAACTTTCTCTAAACCATGTCTACTCTAAATACATTATTTAATCCTTGAAGATATCTCATTACGTATTACTACAACCTTTTTCATGGGTGAGCACACTGACATAAAGTTAAATAATTTACTGAAGACTATTTAGATTAAATTCACAAGTATGAACAGGAATCCAAGCTTAAGAAGGAAAATCCATATATCTGAGGGGCTTGGTCTTTGGAAGGGTGGTCTCCTCAGTTTCGTTTAATGGAAAAATAATGCTCATGGGCATCGAGTAGGAGGGGTCTACTTAGGATTAGCTTGGGGATTTGTCCCTTCCTCAAAGTCCTTAATTAATGAGGCAAACTCCTGATGAGAGGAAACTTTTGTTGGCTTAATTTCATTTAGAAAACATTAAAGTCAAATTGACCTAAATATGAGGCCAAGCTAATATATTCACCTGAAAGTTGGAAATGATAGTTTCATTTATTATGCTATTCTTTCAACTATTCACATGTTAAATTTTAGTACTTAGAGGTAAATGTTTGCCCAAGACATTCTGTGACCAAGGAGAGGAAAAGCGAGAACAAGATGTAAAATAGAAATTGGTCTCAAGCTACTCACCATCTAGGTAGATGAGCAACGGGTCCATAAGTGTCTAATTCTATCATAGTAACTACAGGTGAGTGTTCAAAGTTGACAGACGCCAATTGGTTGGAGGAGTAAAATTTTGAGAAGAGCTCTAGAGATACAGTCACAGGCTGCGAAAGACTGAGCTTTGAAGAAGGGACGAGGAATCCTTTAAAGCAGGACTGAGTGGAAACGTGAAGACTTTGGAGGCCTACCCTATGGTTACCTAGCTGTGTTTCTCCAGTCAATTACTGAACTTCTCTGAGTCTCAGTTTCTTCTTCCTCTGTAAATGTTGACATTTATGTATACCTCAAAGGGCTTAGGTGGAAGATTAAGTGACATAATATTTGTGAAGCACCTGGCACATAAGAAGCCCTGATCGTTTTTTATTTTACTTTGAAAACATATGGAGGCTGATTGACATTGGCTTCTGAATGATAAATATCCTGTTTCTGAGGCTTCCTCTCTTTGACTAGACTAGTTTCAATGGGAAACATGGATTTGCTCCCCTAATTTACAGCTTCCATGTGTGCTTGTCACTATTAAATGAGCGGGCTCGGGGTATACCATTTACAGGTTTCTCCCCAGGGGTTTCTTTAGGCTAGCTGGAATGCCACAGAATTAAAAAACAGATGGTGTATACTTGAAAAGTGTAGAAACAGTCTCATTCTTCTCTTATGTCGAACTGTCTTCACTTGTGTTTACATAAGGAAATGCGTAAGCAAATTTTAAAAAGGAATATTTTGGAATTAGTTTCTGCACAATGAATCTTTGGGTACTTGGACATCTGTGATGTAAAATCTCCTGGCTTTCTTTCAGAAAAAATATTATTGTTTAAAAGCTGTCATTTGGAATACAATTTAAAAACTTGTTTTCAACAGCTATAGAATTATACACAGATTCTGAACAAAAAAATGTAAAATAGGTACATGATGCTTGTCTTTTTCACATCTATAATAATCATTTAACAGCTAAATCTAGAAGTAATGTGCCATGTGGATGTCTTGATTTTATTTCATGCTTTTCCCTTTTGAACATCATTTCTTTCTCTGACTCATAGCCTTTTTATTATTACTACTATTCTAAACTTCCTTCCACAAGTCTCTCAGTTTTAAATTATGAAAGCAGGTGTCCAATATTTTCCTTAAAGCAGGATTCTTACATTTACTAATTTGTTTAATGGACAATGATGACCGAGGGCCAGCTATGCATCTGGCACTCTTTCAAGTTCTTTGACTATAATGGTGAGCAAAATGGATACGGTCTCTCCTTCAAGGAGCTTATAAATATTTGTAGAAACAGAAATTATTGAAATAACTCCCAGACGTAATTACACACCATGGTGAGTGACGTGAATAATAAGCGCAAGGTGCTCTTGAGAGTGTAGTAAAGGGATGTGATCTAGTCAGTTGAGAGATGGCTCTGAGGGAAGATCTGAAAGACAAGTACAACACAGGTGAGAAGAAGAAAGAACATTCTAGACAGAGGCATTGACATAAAAGCATCAGAGCATTTTCAAGGAACAGAATGCCCAAAGTGAGACTGGAGCAGTAGGGTTGTTTTAAGGATTTGATCTTTATCTAGAAAGCTAAAGGAAGCCTTGGAAGAGTTTTTAAAAGGGAGTAAGATGAAGAGATTTGGATTTTTAAAGGTCACTGTGTCCAAAGTGGAAAAAACAAAGGAGGAAAGTAGAAGGAGACAAGGAAATCAGGATGTTCCCGAGACGAAGGGGGTTTGGATTACTGGGGATGGAGAGAAGCAGACAGATTGAAGAGGTGTGTGGGAAGAAAATGTTTTTTATATTTATTTTTCCCCGTTGTTTCTCTTTATTCACATTGTCTGCTGTCTCTCTCCTTCTGTAGGCAATCATCCAAACTGTTTAATGTGTATCTTTTTGCTTCTTTATGGTCTAGCAAAATATGAAATATTGCTTTGTAGGCATACATTCTTAATTTATGTAAATGTTATATTTTGGATTTAATTTTAAGATCCAATTTTGTTGCCATATACATCTAACTCATTATTTTTCTTACGGCATAGTGCTGAATGGTGTGCTACCACCCTCCCACTGAAGGTCGCTTAGATTGTCTCCAGCTTTCCACCACTCCAAATAAAGTGGCAGAGAGTATCCAGGTACACCTTCACTTGTGGACTGATGTGAGAATATGGGGGGGCTCACAATTCTTCTACTACTAATGAATTGGAGTATTTCTTTCTAGGGTTGTTAGCCTTTTGTATTTTATTTATTAAAAATGGCCTGTTCATATCCTTTACCCGTTTTTCTCTTGGGATTGATGTCTTTTTCTTACTGATTTACACATTTCTTGTACAGCCTAGATATTAATCCCTTATTGCTCTCATTAGTCACCTGTCTTTTCACTGTATTAACAGTCTCATCATTAAACAAATATCCTTTTTGGTATATAATTAAATTCATCACTGTTTCTGGAGAGAGTTTGGGGAAATAGGTCACGGTTAATAGCACTCTGTATTGCCAAGAGGTAAGAAAGGAGAGGGCTCAGTGATCATGGAAGACGAGACAGAGTGGTGCAGGCAAAAGGAGTGGGATTTTGAATCTCAATTTTCTAATGTGTAAAATGAATAAGAATATTAATACTAGACCTATATACCTCTGCCTGACAGGAGCAAATAAAAAATTTTGTAAACTAGAAAGGTTTTCGTAAATGTTTGTTTATGAAAACTGCTTTTAATACATTGTCTGGATCTACTAAGGGTCTTCAGATGATGTACAAGCTTGGTCAAAATTTAAAAGGTACAAAACACTGGGTTTATGTGCGCTTTTAATTTAATATTTAACTCTGAAGTCGCACCTTAAAATTAAGTTTAAAATATATTCCCAGTAACAGTATTAAGCAGGTAATTTTGGGAGAACATATGTGGTCTTAAGTTGTAGGACATAGAATCTAAGTGTTCTTTTTCAGAATCTGCAATTTACAGAACAACAACACTTTGCAGCACTAGATTTATTTCCAAAAGATATATATCTAAAATTAAATGATTTTATAAATTAAATTATTTACAAATGCAATTGGTAACTTGTTCATTTGAAGGGATGAAATTTGCAAAGTCTATAATTTGAATAATAACTAACATAATGTCTACATAATAAACCCAGACTTTTTTAGGAAGTCAAACCCAATATTGCATAGATTATGTTCCTGGAAAAAAAGTCATATATTTTGAAACTGCAAAACCAGATCAATATTTCACAAAGTGTGTTTTACAGAATGCATTTTCTAAGCTACTTTAATAAAAGCTATATTGAAAAAATTTACATGATTAAACAAATTTAGAAAACGTGTACATTTTGATAATGCAGAACTTCACCATTGTTTTCATTATGCTGTTGGTCATTGTGAAAGTATAATATGTGATGGGATCAATTAAATAAAATTTTCCAAACTTATTAAACTTTATTTCTGGACTCATCTAGTGAGAGCAGCATAGCCCGGAATATACACTATCCTTCTTACTTTTTGTCTACTTATTCTATTAATTAATGACAAGGTATTTAAAAATTTCCCACTATTAGTTTGAATATGTCTTTCTTTTTATTCCATCAATTTTGCTTTATGTATTTTGAATCCATATTCTTAAGTGTGTTCAAACTTGGAATTATTTTATCTTCCTATTGGGTTGGCAATTTTATCGTTACAACATGTCTCTCTTTGTCCCTAACAATGCTTCTTGCCTTAAAGTTTAGTTTGCTTTATCCCTGGTTCATGTTCTTATGGTATTTTTTTCTATTCTTTGGTTTCTTTAATTATTCCTTGTAAGCAGAATAGAATTGGATTTGTATTTTTATCCAGTATGAGAATTTTAGCCATTTAACTAAGCTTTTTATTTAGTTTATATTTACTTTAATTATTAAGACATTTGATTATATATTTGAGACAATATCTTTTTTGTCTCAAATATTTAGGTTTCTTTTCCTTCCTTTCTTGGATTATTCTGGAGAATGAATACTTTTACTATTTTTTCCCCTCTATTTTCTTGCAATGTACATTATATGTATTATATAAAATATACAATATTATTATATAATATATATTAGTATATATTAATTAATATAATAAATTAATATAATCATTGATATAACATGTCTTTAATGATTATCATAGAGATTACAACATTCATCCCTGAATTATTAGTATAATACAAAATATTGATTTTATTTTGTATAAAATACAAAAGATTTATTTCCCTCAATAACACTAAAACCTTTCTGAGGACATTCTTGTTAAAATATCTTATCCATTTTATCGGATTGTTATTTTCTCATTATTGAGTTCTACGAGTATTTTTTATTTTTAAATTAAACTTGGATACAAATCTTTTATCAGATGTGTTTTGAAATTATGTGGCTTATCTTTTCATTTTCTTAACTTTAGATATGATAAATTTTTTATTTCTGAATTTCCTTTTATATATTCTACTTCTCTGGTGAAACTTTCTGTATTTTCATCTATGTTCTCCGTCCTTTATTCTCTGTTCTTGAACGTATTATTCAGAGGTGTGTTGAATCCTTGTCACTAAACTCTGATGGCTAGATCAGCTGTGTCTGTTTCTATCATCTATTTAGTCTCTTGGTTTTTGGTCATATGGTCCTATGGCTACACACCTAGCAATTTTTTTATTGAGTGTCGAACATCATTTATATCAAATTCTAGAGGCTTCAGATGATATTCTTTTCTTTCAGATAAAGTCACAATTTCCTCTTCTAGGCAGATAGAGTGGGGACTGATCAGTTTAATCCAAGAGGAATAGAATTTGGTAGGTACTGCATACAGTTTTGGTAAAACTAAGTCTGCCTCTCTTAATTGGATGTAGGCCAATTACGTATGCCCTGTTAATTGGGGTGGCTCCCCACTGTTTTCAGTTGAGAGCCTGTTCCACTGAGATTGTGTTCACCACATCCCCTTCACAGTGGGTCCTAATGCAAATCATTGTCTCTTTTGAACAATAAGTTTGTCAAAATCTCTGCTCTGCCTTTCACAGATGTTCTTTGTTTTAGCTTCTTTGTCTCCTGCCCCATGAAACTTCAGAAATCAGCAAATGTCTCGAGGGGAAAATTTTCTGGAGTGAAATATCCTTCAAGTGTTTACTGTTGTTACTGTAGTGTGTGAGACTGCACAGGCTCTGTGAGTTTCTGTTCTCTAACATTACCTTTCTGCCAGGGCAAAACTCAAATTCTCAATCTCTTGTCCACACCCCAATTGACATATATCCCCATGAAAGAAGGCTGCTGAAGATTGTAAGTTCATCTCTCCACAGGTGTCTCCATCTGGAATCTTAGTCACTTCTGTCTTTGTTGCTTCAGCAGCTCTCTTGATGCTTTGAAACACTTATTTTAAATTTTATTCAACTCTTCTGTTTGTCCTAAGTGGAAACATTGAGAAGTTATAAGATGCTCCTTTATATACTACATATTATAATTAAATTATATGCTAGATCATGCTTTAATATCTCTTAAGATATTTTAAATTATATTTAAGAATCCAAATTTGGGTGAAGATTCAACTTTGTAGGATAGTACCAAGACAAAAGACTTACATAATCTAATTCTTCATATGGCCAAATTGACACAAGCACAGATGATGACAATTCATTAAAGTCTACTTTTATAAATTATGGCAGACAAATTTTTTTTAAATCTATTATTAGACATATCATGATAACAAATAATATAATATTTAAAGGAGTAAATAAGGGTTTTCTGGTATGAAGACACACTATTTTCTAGTCTTGTTTTAATATTTTTGAAAGATCAAGTAAGCACAATAATCTACCTTAGAATAAGAAGATTCAGTAAACTGTGTGTCCTGTAAGGCATTCTTATTGGCCTTCATTCCCTTCTTCTGTGCAACTCATCCCTAAACTTTTTATTTTCAGTTTGTATTGTCTCTCTATTTTTCCAAAATGTTCTTCAAATATCTTTGAATGAATTAGAATATGATCCAGCATTTACCCAGATGCTACTCATCATTCTTATTTGTGACAATGTGATTACTACATATCTTTAATCTAAACCAGGATTGGCAAATGGATTTCATCTTGTATGGCAAATCAAATGGAAGAAATATCTTAAGCTGTTTGAAATTATTCTAAAGGTACATCCAAGCCCAAAGTGAAGATGTGCCAAGATAATTTAATGAGGTCTGTCATGCATTGGAAGAAGGAATAGTAACAGGCCATCTTGTTGGATCTTGAGTACTTAGAGTTGGACACAAAGTTAAAACTTGAGAAAGATTTGTTAATTGACTAATTGAACATTAGTGAAAACTTGTGAACACAATAACTAAAAAAGACTTTGGGTTTTATTAATAACTATTCTATTAAAAAAGGGATTATTTCATACGAGTGGTTCACTGAACTCTCTTGACCTCATGTCTTATTCATCTTTATATCCCACAGGAGGACTTGTCAATTTGTCTCATGGTAAGTGCTCACCGAATAATTTTTGACTAAACTTAGTTGATTTTAAAGTATAAATAACCTAAATCTTCTGAAATGTTTATTATTAATGTTTTACAACAATCTTATATTTGACGAGGAACATAAATAAAGACTTAGGTATGGACAAGACAGACTTTCATTGGTGTAATATAGACGAAAATGGTGTAAGTGGATATAGATGTAAGACATCTGCTGTTTAAAATTTATTTTGAATGATTATTAGGTTCCTCCCAACCTATTGCAGAAAATAAATCGCTGATTGAAATCATTAAGAAAGAGTTTTGAACCATAAAACGAGCTACCAGGAGCACCCTTGGATGATCCTCTTATTGAGAAACATCTTTGAACCAGACACCTGCAAGACATCGGCTCTGGGAAATTGTAATTACTGGGTGTTTATTTCTCTTTTACCTTGATATCTATCTTCCTCCACACAGCAGTCATCAAAATATTCCAGGTATTGGCTCTATCTTGGAATTTAGTAAAAGAATGAATTTTGAATGTCCTGGATACTTTGATTTCATTTGACTAGTTTAAAAAAAGTTAATTGAGTCCCAAAGGGAGTACACAGTGGAATACAGAGGTCCTCCAATCTGAATGCTCCCAATATAGAGAATAGATGTGCACAGGCAACAAGCTAGTTAATTATAGGAATATGTTTTGTGAGAAAGGTTGCACAATGTAGAGTTCTGTGGTTTCCAATATTTCCTCTTATATTTGACAATCAATTCTTTACTAAAAAGAATATCAGCTACTCACAATTTCTTCAAAGAGTCATGTATGTCCAGAAGAAGTCTCTATGGGAGCATTTTCTCCTTTTTTTCCTTTTCTAGTTTTAATTGAATATTTTATATGATTCCATTTCATCATCTCTCTTAGTATAGCAGTTATACTTATTTTTAAAATGTTTTTAGCAGTTACCCTAGAGTTTGCAGTATATCTTTTTAATTCATCTAAGTCCACCTTTAGGTAACACTGTACCTCTTCACTTGTAATGCAGGTGCCTCCTAGCAGAGCATGCCCAGTTCCTCCCTCCCATTCCTTGTTACATCACTGTCACTCGTTTGACTTACCCAAGTGCTACAATCACCCAATACATTGTTACTATTCTTACTTTAGACACTTATCTTTTAGATCAGTCAAGAATAAGGAAAATAGAAGATTTTATTTCACCCTTAGTTTATTTCTTCTCTGATGCTCTTCCTTTCCCTATGTAGAGCTGAGTCTCTGACCTATTATCATTCTCCTTCTCCCTGAAGAACATTTAACATTTCTTATGGGGCAGGTGTGATGGTGGTGAATTCCTTCAGTTTTTGCTTGTCTGAGGAAGTCTTTATTTCTCCTTCATTTTTGAAAGATAATTTCACAGGATGTAGGATTATAGGTTGGCGAGTTTTTTCCTTAAACCTTTTAGGTATTTCCTTCTACTCTCTTACTTGTATGATTTCTGAAAAGAAGTTCACTATAATTCTTATCTCTATGTGTTTTTTTCCTTTCTTGGTAAAGTGTTACTTTTTCCTCCAACTTCTTTAAAGATTTTCTCTTTGTTTTGCATTTTCTGCAACTTGAATATGACGTTACTAAGTGTAGTTGGGTTGTTTTTTTGTTTCTTTGGTACTTGTGCTTGGTGCTCTCTGAGCTGCTTGGGTTTAGGGTCTTCACTAATTCTGGAAAGATCTTGACCATTAGTACTTCAAATAGTTCCTCTGCTCCATTCTCTCTTTCTTCTCCTAGTAATCCAGTTATGTATATGTTACACTTTCTGAAATTATCCTGTCATTCTTGAATATTCTGTTCTGTTTTTGTCATTATTTTTTCTTCCTGCATTTCAGTTTGGGAAGTTGCTATTGACCTACATTCAAGCTCACTTGTTATTTCCTAGACCATGTTCCATATTGATGAGCCCAGAGGCATTCTTTGTTTCTGTCACAGTGTTTGTGATTATTCCAGTTTTTTGTTAGACTCTCCATCTCTCTGCTTACGATACCCATCTGTGGTTAACTGTTGTCTACTTTTTGTTTTCTTTTTTTTTTTTTCGGAGAGGAAGATTGACCCTGAGCTAACATCCATGCCAATATTCCTCTATTTTGTATGTGGGACAACACCACATCATGGCTTGATGAGTGGTGTGCAGGTTCGCATCCAGGATCCAAACTGTGAACACCAGGCCGCTGATGCAGAGTGCATGAACTTAACCACTAGTGACCAGGCTGGCCCCTACTTTTTCCGTTAGAGTCCTTAACACAGTAATTCTAGCCATTTCAAATTTTATGTTTGATATTTCCAATTCCAACACCTGTGTCATGTATGACCTGGTTCTGGTGCTTGCTTTGGGTTTCGAGACTGTGGTCTTTCTTACCTTTCAGTATACCTTGTAAATTTTTTTTTGTTGAAAGCTGGACCTTATGGGAACTGAGGGAAAGAGGCCTTTCACATGACGTATTATGTTTATCTGGGTCAGAGTTGGACTCCATGTAACGTTTGCTGTAGCTGTAGAAGCCTCTGCTATGCCAGAGACTTGAGATTTCTCAAATGTGCTTTTTCTTGGTCTAACTGTTGATTTTGAACTTCTGTCAGTACTCTTCCCCAGAGTCTGTGTCTTGCAACTATCTCCTCTGTAATCTGCTGTTATTATTCTGAGCCCTGTTGGTGTGGTGATAACATGTGAGAGTGGAAGTATTCTTTAATCCTGTGATTAAATCTCAGTCTTTCTAGTGGGTCTTTGTCCTTCACTGAGATGACTGTGACCTTCACAACTTTTCTTAGCTTTCTCCCTAAGGAGGTGAGATAGTAAGGCTAAAGGGGGCTGGAGTGGGGGCTGTGATCTTACCTAGATGGGGTAAAATTCTGGTAAAATTTTTTACCCTGAAAATAAGCCTTTGTTATGGAAACTCTCTGGATCTATTACAAAATGATCACTCTTCCCCTACTTCTGCCAAAGCTTTGAGGATATTTTTCTTGGCTCTTCATCATGAGAACGCACTGGGGCTCCTGGAGGTACAGCCTGCAAACCTGTGTCCTTCCTCCTCACCCAAGACGCCAGCCCTCAAGGTTTCTCACTCTCGTGCCGGTCCATGCTCCGCCTCGAGCAATTCATCAAAATTACCACGTAAGTGTTCCTACCAGTTTATGGTTCCAGTAGCTTCTGCACCAGCTAAGCAGACCTTGGCAGTGACTCTTCACCACCATTTGTCTTCCCAGATTTCAGGGTGGGGGTTTGCCTTATGGCACAGTTTCTGGTCGGTCCAAGAAAAGCCATCGATTTTCAGCTTGTTCATTTTTTTTCTTGTTATAAGGATGGGAATGACAACTTCCAAGCTCTTTTCATATATGAGCCAAAGCCAAAAGTCTTGAGGAAAACATTTTTTAACTCAAGCATTCCTAAAAAATAAGTTAAGATCTTCTTGAGGAAAAGAATATGAATAGGAATAAAAATAAATTCAAAATGATTTCTATTCTTTTGTTCTATGTGTCTGTGATTGCAATATGCATTATAATTTTTAAAATTAATATGTATCATATGTATCTTGAGCAGATGTGACATTGGCTGGTATAAGAAAACTTACTTGACCTTTTTGGCATTATTAGAAAAAAATAAAAATCAGAGCAAGAAACTGTTTTTTTCATCAACTCAGATTCTGGGTATAAAATCAAAGAAAGGTCTCTACATTTGTAAATCCTTGGCATATAACACACGATTTTGCTTGAAGTTTGAGCAGTATAAAGTATGATTTTTCCAAAGTCAGGGCATCTCAAGTCATGTTGGGCTTTTTTATGTATAAGGACTTAGCCATTCATCTGTAGCCATTTTTCATATGAACTTAAGATACAAAAACAAGAAAACATTATGTTCCTCTTTTAAAAGTTTTCTCCTTTTAGATCTAACAGAGTTATACCTAGCTCACAGTGGGTGCTCAATATATGTCTGATGAATTGAATATTTTGATATTATATCCAGTGTTCCAATGGTGGATTCAACTTTTTTCCTAAAAAACAATGAATAACCAGTCCGCTTTATACCTGAGAAGTGTAGGAGACTCTTCTGACCCCATCTCAAGTTCTCTCCATTACTTAATAGCAGGTGTCCTCTGGTTGTCATCTTCTCAATGTATATCTTCCTCTCAGTCTGATTTTACAAAGAATCGACTTTGGGTGCAGGAAGGGATTTGCTTCCCTTAATTCTGAATGGCAGGTTAAAAAATTATTCAACAGAGATTGATATAGTCATAATTGTTAAGCCGATCAAATTTTTGGGGGGCAAGATTTTAGCATTCTGTCTGCACCATTTCCTACTGGCTAGCATCTCAAGACCAAAGGCCCTTATTTGGTCCAATAATTTATGTCTGATCTGAAATTGTTACTCAGATCTTCTTTTTCTCTCAAACAGAGACTTTTTTTTTGTTTATTCATGTGACTCATCTCAATTAGGTGTTGGGTGGAAAGGAAACAGCTCTAGTCCACACTGACGTATAAAAGACTGACAGCTTACCAAGGTCCCTTTGCTCTTGAGGAGTAGGTCGTTAAACCAAATGAATTTCTGATTGAGTTTTAAGAGGTCATTTGTCTAGCAAAGGGAAATCATTAAATTTCCATCAAAAGCCGAGGCCAGGACTGGGACAAAGATCAAAACTGGGATTGGAATCAGGATTAGTCCCGTTTCTGGTCTCTGCTCTCTCCTGGAGTGGGACCGCACTGAAGTACAGAGAAAACAAAGGGAGTCTGTGCTCGGAAGTTATAATTGTGAATTCAGTGGATGAGGTCACAGACTAGACAAGGTTTGGGGCAGAGAGTGACAATGGCTGGTGTACCAGATATTCTACCATTACTGATGCTGAATATAAGCAACAAATTAGCAGAAACTCTTGAAGAAACCAATATTCTTTTAGGTGACTAGTGCCAATTTCTTCTTTTGTCTTAAGATTTGGCAAAAGAGAAAGATAGTCAATAGTAGCTGAGAATTATTTTGATTTATTAGGATTTGATGATGCTATACCAAATCTGCTACCAGTTGAAGAATTCTTCATGGTGAAGATACTTGTGATTTCAAATTCGTAGTCTATGACTCCAGTGCAATATCAGAACATGCCTTTAGTACAACCCACATATTACATGTCCTGTTGGATTCAACACAGTAAGAATTCCTTGCATCGATGCCATGAACTGATCATTCAACAAAAGTTCCTGTTATGTAAGAGGAGGAGGCAATGTCTGCATGTTAGGAAGAATGAAACAATCTCATCAAGAAGCAAAACAAAAAGAAGTAGAAATAATCTTGGAATTTTTAAAAACATATTTTTAAGAAGACCCTAAAACTCCTTTGTCCTTCCATGACTTTGTGGCTGATCCACATTTTTTCCATGCACTTTGAAAACCAAATTCATTATATTCCTTCATTATGAAAAATGGTTTTGCAAGAAGAAGTCATGACCAAAACAAACTTCTAATAAAAAGTCTTGTTAATATTAACTAACAAAGCAAGAAAGTTGACTTAAACATCAAAACTAGGAATCAAGAAATTATAGCTTTGAGTTATTGAGACTGGAAGGAAATTGTGAAGATTTTTGAAATTTCGCTCCCTGCAATCACTTCAAATCAAAGTCAGCAAAGACTAACTTCTAAAGAAAAGATGATTCTAATGTTTTCTAAAATTTCAAATAGATAGGGTAGACAAAAAGGAAACAAGAGTATATTGTTTACATTGTATAATACAACTTTTTCCCCCCAAAATAAACTTTTTCCTTCATATAGCGTACATTCTGGTTGAGAACAAATTTGTCCTTTTAAATCCTTTTTGAGTAAAGGAAATTCTTTGCCATATTTATTTAAAAACAAAACTTAGTTAATAACGAAGCAAACTGATTAAGCTACAAAATCATAGTTTTAAAACCCATCAGAGAGCTGAGAATGCAAATAAATCTAAATGGAGAAATCTATAGCTGCTTTCATCCATGAAAGAGGAGAAGGAATCCATCATAAGGACATTCCAGGCTATTATCAAATTTCTAATAGCCACTTGTGGTCTGGAATCCTGAGGACCCCCAGCCATAGAGAGACCCTGCACCCACGCACCAAGCTTTCTCTTGACCAAATGCACCAAAGATTGGGGCCAGGAAGGAGAGTCAGAGAACTAACTCTCTCTCCTTCTCTGTCTCTTGTGTCTGTCTGTCTCTCTTTCTCTGACCCTCTGCACCTGCACCCAATGCACTGCAGCAGCCTGTGAGGGCTCAAGGCCAGGCGACAGGGCAAATAATGATTTTCCAAGAGAGTTCATTGCTACAGATTTTTATGGAAATTAAAAACGATAAGAAAGGGATAATGAGGAAAATGTTATGCTAAGAAATATGACAACTTAGATGAGATAGACAAATTCCTTGAAAACCAAAAATGACTCAAGAATAAATGGCAAATCTGAATAGATTTACAACTGTTAAAGAATTTGAATTCGTAATAAAAAATTTCCATAAAGAAAATTCCAGATCCAGATGGTTTCACTAATAAGTTTGATTATACATTTAAGAAAGACGTAATACCAATCTTAGAATACACTTTCAGAAAATAGAGAATAACAGAATACTTCACAACTGGTTTTATGGGGCCAGCATAATCCTGATTCCAAAACCTGACAAAGATGTTACAAGAAAAGAAAACTATAAACCAACTTCTTTTATGAACATAGACACAAGAGTCCTGAACAAAATATTCGCAAATTAAAGCTAAAACGTCATGAACAACTGAGGTTTTATTCCAGAGATAAAAGGTTAGTTTAACGTTAAAAAATAAATCATATTAACAGAGTAAAGAACAAAATCATATGATCATCTAAATGGATGCAGAAAAAGCATTTGACAAAATACAATACTTATTCACGTAAAAATTTATAACATTTAGGGATAGAATAGAGCTTCCTAAATTGGTGAGTCATTGATGAAAAAAATCTGCAGCTAACTATATACCTAATGATGAAATATATCCACTTTTGTGTGTGTGTGTGTGTGTGTATGTGTGTGTGTGTAAGACTGAGCTAACATCGGCTGCCAGTCTTCCTCTTTTTGCTTGAGGAAGATTGTCACTGAGCTAACATCTGTGCCCATCTTCCTCTATTTTATTGGGATGCCACAACAGCAAGGCTTGACGAGCGGTGCTAGGTCCGTGCTTGAGATCCAAACTTATGAACCCTGGGCTGCTGAAGCAGAGCACGTGAGCTTAACCACTATGCCACCCAGCCAGCCACAAAATAGGCACACTTTTCACCTACAATTGTTAATAATGTAAAGATGTCCACTCTTGCCATGCCTATTCAGCACTGTACTGGCAATCAAAGCTACTGCAATAAAACATGAAAAAAGGGAAGGAAAGACTTTACGAACAAAAAAGCAGAAGTACAATTATCTTTACTGTAAATAACATCATTTTTACATTGAAAATCTTAAGAATCTCCAAAAAAAATTAGAATAAGTGGTTCTAGGAAGTTCACAAATTAATGATAATATAAGAAAATCATTTATATTTTTATATACCAGCAATGAACAATTTGAAAATCAAACTTTAAAAAACGAGCCATCTAACATAGCTTGTAAGAACAAAAATAGCTTAGGAAAAATCTATGAAAAAGAGATGTAAGACCTCCATTCTAAAAATTATAGAACATTGCAGAGAGAAATTAACAGTAACTTAAATAAATTTAAAGATGTACCATATTCATGGATTGGAATATGCAATATTATTAAGATGTCCATTTTCCCCAAGATTGAAATGTAGATTTAATGCAATGCCAATCAAAATCTCAGAAGGGGCTTCAATTATGCTTAAGACGTAGAAAGCCATGGGGACTTGCTCCCACCCTAACAATGAGAAAATATCAGACAATCTACAAAATCATAACTTTTTAAAAACTCTTCATAGAGCTGAGATTTCAAGGTAACTATGTGAACTGAGTTCTAAATAGTAACAAGTCCGTCCAAAGATAGATGAGACACACAAACTCCTTCAACTTTGGAAGAGGTTACGAGGAAAAGGACGCTACGTTAAAAGCAGGTAAGAAGAAATCAGCTCAAATTTTAACAAATTTTATTAAAGTGTAGCCTAACATATCAATTTAGAATAACCAGGAAATACAAACATAAGGGCAATTCAGACAGTTCATACTCACTTACAATGCTTTTTTTAATGGGCCTCCACAAGGTGCCCATTAAAGACGATTTGGAGCAGGGCAAGCACCTGGAGAGAGCCTCGCTTGGTGATGCACACATGCAGTGAGGACACTCCCATGACTAACCCTGGGAAGTAGGCATGAAACCCTATACGTGTCTGAATCCTTCTCTCATATGAAACCAAAATCTTAAGATACTGGAGAACGGGCAAGAAATACTCCTTCCCATAGGACCCAGAGAGAAATGTCTGCTCCTGGGAGGAGGAGGTAGAAGTTAAACCCATCTACGCCTGTGCAAAGGGCAGAAAACATTCCTGCTTCCAGTAAAAATCTGTTGCTTCTGGAGGAGTACATAGACCTGACAAAGAACTCACATGCAGAATGTATAGAGACTCCCCCAAATCTTCAATACAAAGACAAACACCACCAGAAAATGGACAAGAGTCTTGAACCGGCCCTTCAGACAGGAAATACATGAGTGGGCAATAAGTACATGAAAACTGCTCAATATCATTACTAGTCAGTGAAACGCTAACCAAAGCTACAATGGAATCCCACTTTGTACCACTGTAATGGCTAAAATCAGGAGAATTGCTAATACCAAATGCTGGCAAGCATGTGGAGAAACCGAGTGTAAAATGTGGAAATGTAAAATGTTTTTTAATGTCAAATATACAAAACAAACATTACTAAATCCAATTAAGCAATGTATTAAAATGATTCTTATATGTTGAGTTTATCCTACAAGTTCAGGAATGATTTAACATCAGAAAATGTATTACTTTAATTTACTGCATTATCAAATAAAAGACAAAAACCATAATACCGTCTCAACAGATGCAAAATGAAACATTCAATAAAATTCAGAATCCATTTCTAGTGAAAAACTCCAGCAAACTAAGAAGAGAAAGAAACTTCCTGAACCTGATATAATTGATAAAGCTCTACAACAAACATCATTAGTCAGAAATAAGGGTTCTCTTTATTATTGCTTCTATTTAACATATTTTTGAATATTTGAGCCAAGGCAAGGAAGATAAAAGAAGTATATGAACAAAAAAGGAATACCAAAATGGTCATTGTTCCCAGATGATCTTATCATACATATGGACTAAGCAAATATACAACCAAACTATTAGCACTATTAAGAGAATTTAGGGAGATATAGGACACATTCCTATTTATCAACAAAAACAATTTAAAGTGAATGAGTATAAAATAAAACATCATATTAAAAAAGACATACAATAACTTTACTGATAAAACTATAATATATATTCTTGAAATACATAAAAGAAGACCAAAACAAATAAATACAGTAAATAATGTTTATCACTGGGAACCAACAATATCATAAAGGTGTTAACTTCATCCAAAATTAATCTATAAATTTAGTGCAATTCTAAAAAAAAAACTAATAAAATTTCTTTGACTTGACAAACTGACAACTAAAATTCAAATAGAAGTGCAACCAGCCAACAAGAGTCAAAACAGTTTTGAGAAGGATATGGTGGAAGAACTCATGCTACCAGATACCAAGATATATAAAAAGGCTATAAGAGTATAATAGTAATAAAAGCAGTGTGATTTTGATGCATGAATGGGCAAAAAATGAAGTGCAGAAGTACACACATAAATATTGAGATCTGGTAGATGACTAAGTTTCTTTTTAGAATCATTGGATGGAAATTGGGCAATTGAATAAATGTTGCTTGGATAATTAACTCTCAGAAAAGAATAAAACTAAATTCTTAGTTTATACTGTTTGTTAAAAAAAAATCTACGTGAATTAAAGACCTAATGTAAAAAGTAACACTTTGAATTTTCTAGAAGAAAATTTTGAAATATAATTTCATTATATCAGAAAACAAAGAATTTGTTTTAAAAGACACAAAAAACATAAACCATAAAAGAAAAGCCTGTTAAATTTGATTGCAGTAAAATGAAAACTCTAGTATGACAAAAGACCCCATAAACAAATCTAAAAGTCAAGCTACAAAGGAAGAACACTTATTATAATTTTTAGCTGACAAAGGATTTATACTATCTGGAATTTATAAATGAACCCTATAAATCAATAAGGAAAAGACAGTTCCATAGACAGTGGGTAAAATATGTGACTAGAAGGTTCACAGAAAAGGAAATTCAAGTAACAAATAAAAACAGACTTTCAAACTTACTGAAATGAAGAATGATGAGAATGGTTGGAAGCCTAGGCAATGATGATGGGAAAGATCTCATGTGAAGTGGAAGATTGATGATTGAGGGGTAAGTAGAGGATGTGAATGTTCCAGAGTAAAGAGGAGGGCATGGGAGCCCAGAGCCCAGATGACAGAACCACGTTAGGTCAGAGGTCACCTCCTCTAGCAGCACAGTTGGAAGGATGAGAAGATGTGTGCAGATGCAGGTAGGCTTGTGGGTTGGATGGTCAGGAATTTAGCTGGTCCTTTTCAGGTGGATTTTGTTTTGCTCTGTGAAGTAAACCAGCTAAAAATAAATCACTATGGTATAAGGTTGAGAGAGAAGTTGCAGTTTGAGGATAGAAAAAAAATTTGAAATAATCTTTGGAGAAAGTAGGAAGGCAAGTTGACCAGAGAAGATAAGGTTTGTGATTCTAAATTTATAGTGGGACCTATCTTCTAAAGCAGACACAGGATTAGAGTTTTCAGAGAAAAAGAGGTCAAAAGTTCAATGATTCTATCAGGATAATTACCGAAATTCTAGATCATGCACTCTGACCTGAAGGGAGAGAAAAAGATGGTAAGAAGATAAAAATGGAAGAGTCGCTGAACTGGAGAGACCAAAAGAGTAGCGTAACATACATGTACAAGTAAACTAAAAAGATTGGAGGTTGTGATGAGAATGAGTAACTTGAATTAGTGACTTTTAGAGTTAGAGCAATTTGCATGGTGACATCTTCCAGGACGTAAGAGGTGGAGAATGCTATGGATTCGAGATATCCAGGGTTTGAGTAACTTGTCCAAAAGAACCTTCAATGGGTTGGAGAAGAAAACCATGAGCCTGGAGTCAAAGTCTCAAAGAATATGGGGAAATGACTAGGCGATAGGTAGAATGCAATGACAGGAAATTGGGAAGGTTTTTTCAACATCTGGAATACTCTCTCCTGAATTAGAGAATTGTGATACATACATGAAGGAGTCACTTCCATAAGTCTTTAGGACTACATGTATGATTGCAAACTATATTCTGAATTATCGTCATATGTACAGAAGCAAGAAAATCAACAGAGAATTGAAATTAAAATATAAAAATTCCACATAGGGATGGCTTATAAGAATGTGGCTTAAGCCCTACAGAGAATGAGAAAAGAATCTAATATGTTCTTCTTTTAGGTATTAAAATTACTTGACAGTTCCAATATCCAGCTAAACTCCTATTGGACTGAAGCAAGCAACAGTTCTGAATGCTTTTTGTCCTGAAGAACTTGGCTTGAGATAATTATTGGCTGAGCTTGAAGTTGAGTAACTGGAACATGAAAGTAGGGCTGCTCAGAAGAGGGCCAGCGAGCCCCGCCTGCTGCCTTAGACAATGTGTGTCCTCATCAGAGTCCTACTCAAGAATTCATGTCATCAAAAGTAAGTGGTTTGTTCTTATTGAAGACGACATTGCTTGCAAAGACATGCCAAGTAGTGTCCAAAGAAATGAATCAAGGTATAAAATCTGGGTGGTCCTTAGAGTTGATTTTGCACATAGGACAAAAGAAGCATTTGTGAGGTGGCCGAGCATCTGTGCAGGGAATTCTTTCTACAGTCCGGGGGCCGTTTTGGCATAGGCAAGGAGATCACTCATCAACTCTGGCATTTGTATGGCTGTATTTTTTTTGCCAGGAAATATTTACCCCATAGTCTAACACTGTCTGCTCCTAAATTGGAACAGGCGGTTACCACAATCCTATGGCATTCAATAGGTTTCTTTGGGGGGAATAAATGTTCTGGAGATGTGCTGTAACAGCTCACCACTGAGCATGTTCCCCAAGGAGATCACATGGATGAGAAACAGCTTGGTTCTGTGAGGGTGACAAAGAACAGGGCTCCACATTCAATCCTACCTTAAAATTTTATCCCACATTGGTTTTAATAGCTGCTTTCTCCCATCCCAGCTGTGCAGCCATCTTTTAGTCCAAAAAGACTGCCAGGGAGTGGTTTTCGGCCCAAATCAGGGATAAGGGAGGGCGTGTGTGTCTGCAAGAAGACGTGTGTCCACAAGAAGATGAACTTTGTCAAACCATCCACAATTTAGTGACTAAAATATCGTACTGTCCATAAATGCCATCAGATAGACTATCTTATGGTGAAAACAGACCTAGAGTGTTTTGATTCAGTGTCCTCCCTTTTGAGACGGGGGAATTGAGATCTGGTTGTGTTGAGTAATTTGCTCAGTCACAGAGCTAGAGAGTGATAGAGCCGAGATTAAAGTCCAAGTCTCTTGATTTTCAATCTAGAGGGTTTTTTTAACAATACCAGCTAATCTAGGTTTATTCTGTGATTTCCCCTTCTTAGCCTCTGCTTCCGCGGTGGGATGCCTTCATTCAGTTCAGGACCCTTACACCAAAGCCTACCAATTCTTGTTGTAAAAGATTTCAAGCATGAAAGAAGTCTAGAGATTATTTTACGGGAAACACACGCAGCTACCTAGCTTAACAGAGGTCAACATTATACTTTGCTTGTGCATCTTTCTCTTCCTCACACTTCCCAGAGATAACCACTAAACCAAATCTTGAGTTTATTATGCTAATTCAAGTTGTTATATTCTCTATCTATTCACACACACACACATTCACAAATATATAATTCTGTATCTTTATTTCATCCAACGTTATGTTTTTAAGGTTTATTTTAACCTTATGAAATATTCCGTTGTATGGATGCACCAATATTATTTATCTATTCTTCTATTGATAGACACAATTTTTAAAATCTTTCATAATGTACACAATGTTCCAGTGAATATGTTTGTGAATATTTCTTTCAGCACATTTTCAATAGTGTTTTTAGGCCTCAGAAGTAGAATTGTTAGTTGAAGGAGTACATGCACATGTGTCAGGTGGAAAAATGTCTCCCCAAAAGGTGTCCCTGGAACCTATGAATATGTTACCTTACATGGCAAAAGGGACCTTACAAATGAGATTAAGGTTGGGCCAGCCCCAGTGGCCTGGTAGTGAAGTTTGGCACTCTCTGCTTCGCTGGCCCACGTTCAGCTCCTGGGCTCAGACCTACACCACTCATCTGTCTGTGGCCATGCTGTGGCAGCAGCTCACGTACAAAAAAGAGCAGTGGATGTTAGCTTAGGGCGAATCTTCCTCAGCAAAAAAACCCCAAAAAGCAACAACAAAAAGTGGGATGAAGGTTAAGTGTCTTCAGAAGGGAAGGGTACCCTGGGTAACGCAGGTGGACCCAACTGAATCACATGAGTCCTTGATCTCAGAAGAGGCAGAATAGAGGGTCAGTGGACACCACCTGAAAAGAAACCACAGCTGTTGCTGGTTTTGAAGATGGAGGAAGGGGGTCATGAGCCAAGGAATATATGGCTCCTAAAGCTGGAAGAAGGCAGGAAAAATGAATTTTCTCCTACAGCTTCCACGAAGGAACACAGCCCTGTGGACAGACACCTTGATGTTAGCCCAGTGAGACCCATGACAGACTGCTGACCTCCAGGACTATGAGCTAACAAGTTTGCCGTGAAGTTTGTAGTAATTTGTTAAGACAGCAATAGAAAACTAATATAGCATATTAAACTTCACTAACTATTGCTAAATTTCCCTCTGAAGCGGCTATCCCAAGTTCTATGCTCACTATCAGTGTATGAGAGCCCCTGTGACCCCTTAACCTTTGTAAGCCCCTCTCAGTGTATGAGAGCCTCTGCGACCCCTTAACCTTTGTAAGATGTTCTAACATCGCCAGAATTTTAATTTTGTCTGCAGGGTTTGAAAAGGTTTATAGTTTCAATTCACACATGGTTTTAACTTTCACTTCTCTAATTATTTTCTATGTTCTTGGCCATTTGAACATCTCTTTCCTTGAATATCTTGCTCACTTATATTACCCTTTATTCATATTGGGTTGTTATGCTTATTTATTTGTAATCATTTATATATTCTGAATACAAAATCTATTCTTGAAAGCCCGTGCAATTATAAATTCTCATTCTGTGGCTTCCTTTACTTTGTTCGTGGTATTTTATTACACAGAAAGTTTTAATTGTTATGCAGACGTGTGTGTCATGGTTTTTGCTTAGTGTTTTGCATTTTAGGTCGTCCCTAATACCTCCTTCCCAACCTCAAGACCGTAAACATATTCTGTATTTTCTTTTAGAAGATAAGTTTTAAAGTTTTGCTCTTTAGGGCTTTCAAGTATTTGGAATTAATTGTTTTTTATTTGGATACCCAGTTGTTCTAATACTATTTATGAAGAATTCGTTCTTTTCTTTCTGATTTGTAATTCCACTTCTCTCTCACATTCAGTACACAAATGAATCTGTTTCTGGACTCTCCTTTCTGACCCTTTGTCTATTAGTTTATTTCAGTTCCTGCTCTACACTATTTTAATTACTCCAGCATTAAATATATCTTGATATCCTCTTTTCTTCCTATTTTTCTTTTAAATTTATTACTTAATCTTGGATTTTTTTTTCCTTTTTCTCCTTAAAGCCCCCCGGTGCATAGTTGTATATTCTTCGTTGTGGGTCCTTCTAGTTGTGGCATGTGGGACGCCGCCTCAGCATGGTTTGATGAGCAGTGCCATGTCCGCGCCCGGGATTTGAACCGAAGAAACACTGGGCCGCCTGCAGCGGGTGCACGAACTTAACCACTCGGCCACGGGGCCAGCCTCTAATCTTGGATTTTTATTCATTCAAATGAATTTTAGGATAAGTTCGACTAAACGTAGACATTCTTTCTGGGATTACTGTTGAAATTAGATTAAAAATGTAGAATGAGTTAGCATTAGCTAATTCTTTTGGTTATTAGGTCTTCCATCTGTTATCATAGCATAATTACTCATGTATTCAGTGCTTTAAAAATAATATTCAAATGTATAGTTTTCTCCAACAAAAGTTTGCTATACAGCTTCTGCTAGATTTACTGCTAGTTACTTTACTGTTTTTGCTGCCATGGTTTTCCCTAACTGATTACTAATTGATGATTATTCATATGTAGGGGTGCTATTGATTTTTATACATTGATCTCGGATCTAGCAAACTTGCTGAATATTCTCATTAGTCCCAATTGTTTGTCTGTAAATTTCTTGGATTTTATAACCAGCGTATTCTCAGTAAAGAAAATCTTGCTAGTTTTTGTGCTTCTTGTTCCTCTTAGATTTTTATGTATCTTATCGTCCGCCTTGAATCTCCAGGGCGTGCTTGGGAGGCAGTCATAGCGGTGTCCTCCTATTGTCCCTGAGTTGGCTTGAAGTGCTTCTGAAGTTTCCCATTTAAGTGTGGTACTGACTGCAGATAAGGCTCAGAGATTCTCCTTCTATTCCTCCTTTGATAAAAATTGTCAAAAATTAGTCAAAATTTGTTACATTTTTTTGTATCTATCTGCAAGATTTTGTTTCTTCTACTGTTCATGTCTGCTTTGAACAGAAGGATACGTTTGCCTCATAAAAGTGGTTGAGTTCCTTCCCCTCATCTTCTATTCTTGTAGCTTTGAATATGGTTTGAATTATTTGTTCCCAGAAGCTTTGGTATCTGTTTGGTAGAGTGAGATTTCATGGCCTATTAAATGTAATTAATGATTATTTCCTCCTCAGGCAATTTTGCTAACTTATATTTGTCTGGAAACTTGTGAATTTCATCTCAATCTACAAGTTTATTGCACAAATTTCTTCATAACATTTTTATGATATAAGAGAACACCATGGAAATATGGTGACTTCTCTTTTTACCATTGCTAGTCCCTTTTTCCATTATTATTTTTGATACTCTTTCTCTTTTTTATTCAGACTCAGTCTACTTTCTTTCTTTGAAAGAAATAGTCTTTGTTTTATTGATTTTCTTTATTATTTTCTATTGCTATCTTTACTTTTTCTTTGCTTCTCCTTTTATTTGCTTTATTCTAATGTTATTTTCCTGTTCACTCAGTTAAACCATTGTCTTAATTTTGATCACTATTTTTAATAAACGCGTTTATGTCTGTAAGTTTCTCTCTAATTACTACTGTATAAGCACATCACAGGTTTTGATATGTAATACTTTTATTTTTATTCAGTTATTAATATTCTCTAATTCCTATAGTATATTTTTTACTCATACTTTTCATATGAGAATATTTTAACTTTCCTAAAATAACTATTTTATTTTTGATTAAATAATTAATGCTTTGCATTAAGAAGACGTTCTTTTTGTAATGTAAATTATTTGAAAATAGTTGAGACATTACATGTGGCCTAGTATGTGATTATTTATTATGTTCCAATAACTTCAAAAATACATATTCATTCTTTGTTGGAGGTAGAGTTTAATATATATTCTCTGTTAGGGAAAAATTCTTCTCTGAAATTCTCTATACATTATTATATGTTGTCTGATTATCAATTTTCAGATTATTATTAGGAGTCAGTTCTTATAATTCTCTCAA